TTCCCTCTCTAACCGTTCACCCAGAGATCGCGTTATAAATCATGGCCTATTATACGCGAGAACGCGAGCATCGGTCATCGGGGTGGCGAATAATGCGATTTGGACCAGCACAGAGCCTCAGCTAGACTCTACCGGGTCTATCGAGATCTTAGGGGTCCCCGTAGCACCTCTCGTTCTCTTGATTCTCACGGTCCGTGAAATGGCTCGTGGTCTGACAACGAAAGCGCAGATACCAGTCGCAGCGTGTACGCTTTGCTATGAGATAGAGGCAGAAAAGCGCCACGTAACCCCCATACGCGCTGTTTTCGAGGGACGATAATGGCGGCGCGCCTCTGGTAGCGCGATTAACAAAAGCGATCTATTAAATGGGCCATTGTGCTGTCCGGAGATGTGAATGACACCAGGCGGCGCGCCGCCACGGGGAAATTAAATTCTCCGCCGTGCCGGCGAGATTCGCGGGGCACTGATTGAAATAATGCGCGCTGCGGATAACGTTCCTGTCTATGGGCGGCTTGCCGGTGGGCCCACGGGTACGGCTCTGGAGATCACGGTTGAAAGATTCTGATTTTGCCTGGTTGTTACGCGAGGTTCAACCGGGATTAATTTCTATGATTAATTTGCTCGATGAACTTGGGAAGCATTTTTCAGACCGGGGGAAAGATAGGGGGTCTTACCAGCTAGCTTCGGGTTAGGGCCCTCTTGGGGGATTGGGAGATCAGGGATGAGAGATTCTAAAGTCGTGGGCTTGGCTTATTTGGGAAATATCTGATAAGCAGAATGGAATCTTCTAGTTTTAGTTTTTGCGTTATGACTTTTAGGGCCCAACTTTGAAAAAAGGACTGGAGATTCTTTGGGTCTAAGTTGAGAGGTCAGAAATGAGGGATTCTGGAGTCGTGAGTTTGGTTTATTTGGGAAATATCCTCAAAATAGGATGGAATCTTCTAGTTTTAACTTTTGCCTTATGGCTTCTAGAGCTAAATTTTGAGAAAAGGTTTGCAGATTCTTTGGGCATAAGTTAGGAGTTCAGAAATGAGAGATTCTGGAGTATTCTGAAGTCGTGAGCTTGGTTTATTCGGGAAATACCCTCAAAAGAGGATAGAGTCTGCTAACTTTAGCTTCCGCGTTATGGCTTTTAGAGCCAAACTTTGAGAAAGGGACTACAGAAGCTTTGGGTCTAAGTTGGAGGTCAAAAATAAGTGACTCTGGGGCCGAGGACTTGATTTATTTGGAAAATATCCGAGAAATAGGATGGAATCACTTAGCTTTAGCTTTTGCCCTATGGCTTTTAGGACCAAACTTTGAGAAAGTGTCTCCAGAAGCTTTGGATCTAATTTGAGAGGTCAGAAATGAAAGATTCTGAAGTCGAGGACTTGGTGAATATCACAGTTCCTAAGTTTCTATGTTTGGTGAATATTTTCGAAACATGATAGACGTCTTTTGGTCTTAGCTTTGGGTTAGGTTCCATTGATTCTTAGAATCATCATTCTGAGATCTTCGTGGACTTATTACATGCCATAGCTGCCAAAGAGAATCTTCAGAATGCAATTCCCAAGCATCGAAGCACACATTCCGGTTACCTCCTAACTTAACCTATCAGAAATCTTTCGTGCTACCATAAACTCACCCCGGAGACACGAAAAAAACGAGCGACAAGGCGAAAAACGTAGAGGTACGCGAGCAAAAATGCAAAGAGGCGAATCTTGTTGAAAATCTTGTCGTTGCCCGGCAGGACTCTCGGTATGCATAGCTTAAAGGGGAACTGGAACTCGCAGTGAGGAGTCTAGATAATCACGTTTATACGACGGTCCGCATTCCGAGAATTCGATACTCAACTGGAAGAAGTTGTTCCATGCACACCGGGCCCGTTTTCACGATCGTTCAATTTGTACCCGCGGCTGACGATGATCACCCTCAGAACCGAGCCGTGAAAAGAAACCACATATAATCTCGCGATCTCTTGATCACATGATTCAAACTGCACTTCGTTACAATCCCCTGATAGTTCTTGGAAGGGTTATAACACGTGATCACCGACTTATCTACTCGCCAAAAGGGTTCTTAAAATTAATTACTGGAGAGTCCACGTATGAGACCAGTAACCTGTTCGCTAAAAATCCACCCTAAATCATTGACTCACGACAAAAGACACTTTACCTCAGCCTATATTAGATCTATCTAATTAATAGTAGTGTAAGGTACCAATATCTTACATTTTTTTAATTCTTTATTGCAAACATAACCTAACTTATACTGAAAAACCTGCTCTTCATATTTTTCCAGATACCCAATTATAATAGCTCATCTGTGATCTAATACTTATACAGCGATCTACGATACAGTATCTTTTTGAAAACATCTGAACTACAACAATCTAAACTTCAATCTATCTCTCCAACTGTCTCTCTTTCTCTTTCTCTCCTAACCTCTTTTTACTTTCGTTTAATAGTAAAAAAATTGATTGCAAAAATTGAGCCACCTACATTCATTTTTCTCCAAAGAGACGGTGCACGTTTCATGCTATTAGAACGTAATCTCGCGATAAAAAGCGAAGCTCCATTCGACCATAATAGGTTAGATCGGCCAGAAACACAAAGTAGCGTTAGTAGTAAAGTAATCGGCCGACTGATGGCGCTGCAAATAGCTCGCGGGGGCAAGTTGCTGAGCTCGGGTACTTCCGCCGCGAATATCGGGTAACATCGATGAGCCGGGGTTAGGTGGCGCGATCAGCGCGCTCGCGCGGTGGGGATGGTCGCGCGAAGAGGAGTGGGGGTGGAGAGAAGTGGAGGTGGAAGGTAAGAACGAAGAGAGCGACTTACCTCTGGTCGAGCTGTACTCGCCGATGTACCGCCTCGTCAAGTATCGCACGACAACAGCTGAAAAGAAAAATAGGTATGAAAAACGTATGAATTATTTCGGTGGAAGATACCAAAGCAATCAAACGTGATGGATATATCGTGTGATTTATTTCACGTGAATGGTAATTCACAGTATACACTCGTGGATAAGATAAGGAAAAGATAGTCACGGTTATGTTTGCTTTTACGTTTTCGTTCTTAGATAGGCACTTTAATTTTAACAGGAACAATTATTTTTGTGACTATATCGTACTGTTGCTTGGGAATATTTATATCCAGGGGTGTATAATTATTTGTTAGTTACTGATTTATTAATATCAAATGGAAATAATTATACGTAATGAAACAATTTTTTTAATCACTATATTTTTTGGCAAAATTTCGTCAATTTGACTGCTTTGGTAAAAGATAATGCGTCAAATATTAGTGGGAATTTTTCTAATCTAACAATAATTTATATTTTTACTTTGAATTTCAAACTTAAAGAATTATTTAAATACTTTTCACTTGGGTTTCCTCAATTTCTGGGATTAATTACTATGTAGAATGAATAATATAAAAATACTGTAAATTAGATATCTTCGGATTTCTATCCTCTTCGCGTTTTTTTTTTTCCGTTTAGTAAACTCGGAGGTGACACGATTTCAGAGTAATTTGAATATATTTTAGTTAGAGTTCCCGTCGATATCAGGTTGAATGAAAGTGCAGCTCGTTCGTTTCTTAATTTTAACAGAAACAGGTTTATGTAAGTGAAAAGCGATTAATCATCAGCGCAATTTCTCTGTTTCACCATATCGTGTATTTACATGTTTTTCCACGAGCTTTTCAATTTTATATTTATAGAAACGGAAAAGTACGCGGAAATTTTCAAGGTGCTAGACGGGAGAGCTCCCAGTATGCTACTTGCATCGCATAACTTAATACATAACTAGCAAATAGATATTATTATATTATTATACCAGGTGTTCCATAGTTTCAAGAATATTTTCGAAATTAATATATTTTATATATATTTTACAACAGATTAAAAATTTTTCCTTCGTATTAATTACTATATGTACTACAAATTTGGAAAATTTTATTGATATTTCAAAAGTTCTTTAAACTTTATTGACATTTAAGGAACGTGAGAAATTATATGGATTGAAGAAAATATATTGCCACTTAAGAAAATTAAAAAATGTGAAAAAGATATTATTCCCTATTTTTAAAAAGTTATTTACATTGTACATTACTATAAGCATTCTTACATAACCGTTTCATTTGATTAAATTACTAAAAAATTTGTCGATTAGAGCTAAGTACCGTTAAGAAACCTGGTTTCAACGTCCGAATCAATATGCATCGTTCGTACGTTACTGAAAAATGTCTATCACATGTACTTATGTCAATAATTAACGTACTTTTCCTGTCTAAACAGGTTAATTGACGTCGATAAATTTGACAAGTGTATCTCACTCGTTAGAAAGTTACCTGTTAGCACGATCCTTTATAACCGACTAACTTGCCAACCAGCCATCGTGTGAATAGAAAATTTCAGAAATCTTTCCAACCTCGTAAAACCCCATAACCATCTCGAGTTCCACGCAAATCTTCTCACAACACCTACATCAAGAGAACTTTTCACTACCAACGGACCCAACGCCCTTTTACAATAAGAAAGTACAGCGGCGCCAATGGAGCGCGGAAGATTGGTATCCACCATTTTGAAAAGTATCGGATGAGCGATCGAAGCAAACAAGATAATCGATATCCTGGATTTCGAGGGACAAAATAATAAAAATAACGATTGAAAAAGACGCAAAATAACTGCGAAGTGGTGGGAATTAATTAGAAAGGCACGAGGATCGGCGCTGGTATTCGCGCATGGTGGCTTAATTGAATTTTCGCCGATCCTCCAGCTGAATGTGCGTGGGCGTGCAGAGTGAAAAAACCGACCCACGTGGAACGAGGATCGTACGTCATTAGCCGCGATAAAAGTATTCTCTTAAAGCCAGCCACCACACCTCCTGTCGACAGCTCACCGACGCGGTAGAAGGACTGCATGCTTCGTCTTCCTTTCCGTTTTCAACCCTGCAATTTCGAGGGAACCGAGGATCGACCGGCATCCTATCGATCGGTAATTACACCCCATAACGAGCTAGCACCTCGAAGAATCAGCCCACGAAAGCTGGTGCATCGCGAGCGCCGACGAGAATGGGGATGGCATGATGGCGGGGCTGAGTCTGGTAATTTTGGTGGGTTCGTAGAAAAATATCGACTCGACCCCCGCAGCGATCTATTTCGGGCTCGTTTATTTTTTGCCACGAACGATTTCTCGAAAATAAAGAAGAGTCGTGGGCATTAGTGGTCGTTATTCTGATTCTGGATCAGCCATTGAAGATGTTTGGGGCTTCTTGGTGCGCTGTAGCAGCTTGCTAAGTTGGTAGTTGGGAGGAACGAGGGTCTCACCGTGATGTGATAGGTAGAGTGTACTTTCTCTAATATAATCGTGAAGATGGGTTACATCGACTCATGTTCTCATTGGCTGGGAGTGTGCAAGAATAAGTCTAATAGCATAACAAGTCCACACAGGTGTCTTTATGCAATTGTATATAGTAAATAGGATTGAGAAGTAGTGGAAGCCTTCAGTTAGCACTCAGGAAGAACACTATCCTCGGTATTATTGCCAAAATTATACCAAAGTTTTTAATCATGTCTGGAACATTATGTTACAGTGATTATACAGTTTCTGCAGATTGGTATCTGACTTGGTCACGTGTTGATTGAGTGGTACTTAAGGGAAGATGGTTGAGAACCACTGAATTGTTCACAGATCAAAGGCCCTTCTGGATTTTGGGACTTGCAACATTGGCTGATTCTCAATCATATTATTCGCTTCTGTTCTTTTCACTTTCTTTGTGTATACATCATGGTATGTTCTAGCATGTATTTCATCTCTTCTAATAAATTATCGATACCTAAATCCATTTTCTACGTCCAATTTCGGTCTGCCTCTTGGAATTAACCAGCTTGGAAATCACAGTCGTAGGTTTGCTGTAAATTACCAATTATGTAATTAATTTGTCAGATAAAAACATGTAGCTCTACATTAAATGTTTTATTCCTGTTAAGCTGAACAGACTTTCTAAAGTAGTCTTTCTAGACTAACATATAAAGTGGCTCACAGTATTCAACACCAAGTTCAAGAGTCACTTACAAGTGGTGTTATTAATAATAGCACACTTTTCAATGCTGCATTCCAGTCTATCGTGGCTTGGGCTGAATCACTTACGAATGGCATCGGTAACGACGTGATATTTCAGGTCCCTGATTTTTGGTACCTGAAACTCTTTCATTCCCAAGGTTTCGATAAACGCAATTGCGTTTGCCATTATCCAATATCTCAAAATCGCTTTATCTCAGCCGAAATGCCCTCCGCTCATTCCCTTCCACTATAAATCTCATCAACTTCGCAAAACCAGTTCGCCAGGGAAGTACATTTAAGACAAAAAATTAATGCAGCAGCACCAAGAACAAATGATCACCTACTACATTGTACATAATTTCCAGGTGATACCACTAACGACACCACACTTTGGAATCGAGTATTCCAAACCCTCTGCACCCCAAACCTCATACTCCGTGATTCAAACCGTGGAACTTTCTCATTTCAATGGAAATGTCCTACAATCATTTACCATTACGAATCTCAGGATCTTCGCAAAACCAGTTCGCCACGAAAGCACGCGAAGCATAAAAAATTAATTTACCACCATCAAGAACAAATAACGACCTACTGCATTATACATAATCTCCAAGTGATACCACTAACGACAGTATACTTTGGTGTACTCAATCTTGGCCTTAAGTACCCCAAAATCTCGTTCCCTCGAGACGCTAATGGAAAAATCTTTACTTTCAGTTTAACCAAAGTGACCTTCACCTGCGTCCTATCGTTGGGAATCTTATCATCTTCGCAGAGCCAACTTGACAAAGGAAGCTGGAAAAATCAAGAACAAATAATCACCAAGTATATTGTACATAACCTCTAAGAGATACTAGCTTAGATTACTAAACCCCAAACATGGTGTACCCTAAAACATTGTAATAGAAGAATACTTACTCCTAATCTAATCATAGTAATCTTCTCTCGTGTTGTATTATTACGAATCTTATCAACTTTGCAAATCCAGCTCGGCAAAGAAACATGAAAAATGAATTTTACAAGAGAGTACTCTGATACTCCCAAGATCCCAATAAAACCAAAATAATTCCAATATTTTTAATGGTATTATGAATCTTATCAATTTTGCAAACCCAGCTCGATAAAAGAAACATAAAAAGTAAATATACAACGCCAAGATCACCCAGTATATAAGACATAGGGAGAACACACTTTGGAACATTCGATCCCAATCCTTGATAACCTCAAAACCTCTAACTCCTAAGATTCGAAGCAAGGAATTCTTTCGCTCTAACCAAAACGTCCTTCGATCATTTATGATTACGAATAACGTGAACTTCACGGAACCAGTTCGTGAAGGAAGTACGCGAGTCGAACCAGTTCGGTTCAACTTCGCGAATCAACGGAACACGGTGTTCACGGTGCTCCATGAGCTGCTAGCTCTGGGTCCCCTCTTTCTCGTCGGCGATCGCGGCGACAGATTTATAAATGGTGTATATACGAGCACTCGTAGAGAGCACGGGACCGGCACAGATCTATGTACTCAATAAGTCTTCGAGGGTCGAACCGAGAGGATAGGCACGTCGGCGACATGTTAAAGTTCCCTCGTACGTTTCGCGAAGTAACGAAGAAATTTATGAAGCAAGGAGCAGTTCGCCAGGCCGCGCAAGCGCGCACGGCCGTGCGAAACGCGCGTGCGCGCAGCGCCGCTGGGACGAGTGTGCGCGGGCATACCTTTTAATGACATTTCCTGTACATCGTGCCGGCCATTAATTATCGTTATTACGTATTTGACGCAATTTTTCCAGTTTCGCTGCGCCATGGCGACCGGCACGAAACGGAACTTCCTCCC